GTGGCCAGCTCAGGGCAATATGATATTATAAACACATCACATCACGTCTCTGCTGTTTATAACTTCGTAGCAAAGGAAACACGACATTCATTACGGTGAAACCGCTAGCAAGAGCCACAGGAACTTTGCTGCAAGACAGGCATATGTAACAATGACTTAGCGCAGATAAAGACGTGTCATATTATACTCTGTACTACTGACAACATGCCAGCGAAAAATCTAACAACCTACAGCAAAACCATCAATTATTATGGGCGTTATAACATAGGTGTGCAGCTGGACAAAACATACACGTCGAACCCCCCCAGACGATTTAAATACCTGACGAAACATACACGTCAAACCACGGCAACGGGTTAAAGCCAAGAGACACATTTACACAGCATCAGGTACCTCTGAGTGATGAGGCAGGGTCACTCTGCAAACTGGACAATGCCTGTGTCAGTGCTACTGGTGACGTCGCTTTGAAAGCCTTGGACCCAAGAGGATCCGGTGATGCTGGTGATGTTGGTGATGTTGGCTCACTGTCTCTCAAGCTTCCACTAACGCTGTCCATCCTGAATGACAAATGAGAGTGGTAGCCTTTATGGTATAACAAAATATGATTCAAACTGCTCTATGGATATGTTCAGGAGCCTCGATATTACAAGAACAGATTTTTAAAATGCTTGTTGTAATGAATATTAGTAGTATATAGAAATTGTTGAAATACATACAAGTCCATCCTCTAACTTCTGATTATGAATAATACAATATGGCAGTACAGTTTATATAACGTAGCTGTACAAAGTAATGTCATTTCAAGGCTTGAACTTGTTTAAAATCTGAAAATGAAACAGCAGATTATCAAAACATCCAGTATGTTCAGAGTCATCTTTGTGGTGCATAAAACAGTTATTTAAAAAAACCCTGTAGTCAGAAAAGTGCATTTTGGCAATATTGGAGGTCCATGCAGGTAATAACACACCCTACTGCCCACAATATTTCAAACATATAAAAAGCACCAGATCAACAAAAAAAATAATGCAGAAAACTACATCCTGTGACGGATGTCATGTCCATAATACTATAACGTGTCTTGTTACTGAAGACGCCGTTCAGATTGTTAATTGGTTTATTTAACAACCTACAAGTATCAGCTACAATTAATTATAACACTGTTGGGGGGTTTCACACTTGATAACCCTATTCGCAATAATCTCTTCACACTGTTGCGGGGTTTCACACTTTATAACCCTATTCGCAATAATCTGTTCACTCTATCTTCAGTAGTCTACACGTATTCACAGTACGGGAGCTATGTAAGTGTCCCTGTATCACACACTCCCAATTACACAATTACACACACGTCCGGTTCTTCTTTCCGCGACTGCTGCTATACTCCACTGTGTCACTCCTGATCACACAGTAACTCGTTCACTGCTGACTTGAGAACTCACTTCGGTGGCTGATACACTTTTAAAGTAGTTCCCTTATATAGTCACAGTGTTTGCCTGTTACATAATGAGTACCGCTGTTGCCTGACGCCATGTCGACAGCGGCATTGCGCGCCATGTCACAGTGCGGAGGGGGGGACGGAGCGCTGACTCACCCGCCACGTCACCGTGGCCAGAGCTGCCATGTCACTGCTGGGTAAGGAGGGGGTGTCCTCCATTGTGCAACATGTCACAATACTTTTAAGTCTTGTTCAGTAGCACAAACAGTACAACAGATAAACATGGTGTAGTCTTTTTAAGAAATAAGTACCACAAATGCTGGATGAATATCACACTTAAACAGCGTCTCATTAATATAACATCATTAACTTTGAAGAAATATAACAGTCACGTGTTGGTGACCAAATATGGGGGTTGGCTTGATAACGGGATTTGCTGAATGCTTATGATTGGAAATTACAAATAACCATAACATCCTCACTAATCTACACATGCTACAAATCACTATACCACACATTAAGTCTGTTCTGTTTTCACTAGTCAACGCTTGGCAGCACCTTCTAATGGTGAAGATTCTCCTGCATCTGTGCTCACAGCCAGCCATGGATTGTGAGTGTTGACTTTTAACTGCCATCTGCCAACTGCTGACCACCGACTCCCATTTGGTCCTCATTAACAAACTCAGTACAGACAACACTGAAACGCCACTTCCAGCAGTTCTTCCACTGTTGCATGCATATCTGTTGCACACAGAAGTGTGATTACCATGCTGTTGCCAAGAAAAGATTGTCTCTTCTTGCTTTCAGCCATCACATCACAATATTAACGAATAATACTGAAAATCAAAATTACATTCTTCCCTAACAAAAAAATCTTTGACTTCTTCAAGAGTGTGTGCAAACAGAGGTAAAAAAAGGTAAAGCTATCCCTTTAACAGGACATAATGGCCCATACAGTTATGAGAGGTCAATGCTCCTACATTTTTAGACAATCAGCTCAGAGATGGCGGTAAAGTTGTCAGACTTATGTGCCGGCCACCCTTTACCCCCAGAAAGATTCCCGGTACTCATTTCTGTTGGAGGCTGAGTCAACCCCAAGGTGATATTGTGGCTGGAAAGATTAGGCTAATTCGAGAAATCCAAACACCTCATCGGGAATCGAACCCGTGACCTTCCGGCTTGTAGCATAGTGCCTCAACCAACTATTCTACCACGTGCCCAGTGCAAAGAGAGGACCTAATAAAAATCATAAATTCAGAATGCATGTTCTCAAGTAATCTCCTTCTCTGCAGCAATGAGTTCAGTACATTCTTCATGGATATACTTGCCACACACAGTGCATAGACACATTTCATTGTACTGTATCAACAAATGGGTTAAGACTAGCTACCCCATGATTTGGCCAGATTTGCTTGCTTTTCCTTTTCTCTTCCATCTGCCTGTTTTTTTTCTTATGCATATTTCAAGAATAATACATGTATCTTTAATTCTGAGCTTTCCTCTACTCATTTATGCTCCTTTTTGGCATCTTTGCAGCACTTCATGAAATGACTGGCTGGCTACATTTTCTGCATCAATACTGATAATTCATTTATGCTCCTTCTTGGCATGTTTGCAGCACTTCATGAAATGACTGGCTGGCTACATTTTCTGCATCAATACTGATAATTCATTTATGCTCCTTCTTGGCATGTTTGCAGCACTTCATGAAATGACTGGCTGGCTACACATTCTGCATCATTACCAATAATTCATTTCACTGTAACTGGGGATGCAGAATTTCCACACATCCCACATTAACTAAATTTTAGGTCTCTGATTACTTGCAGACCTTGGTCCATTACACACTGATACAGGAGGAGGTACTGGCAATGGCAATGGTTGGTCCTTTTCAGTTCTGCTTATTTCAGCATTCTCTGCAAGTGCAGTCTCAGATACAGTACTTGTAACGTAAGATTCAGGTAGTAAACACCTGGATCACATGGTAGGATCCCTATAGCATGAAATCTTGCATATATGTTTGCAGGCATCATTGCTTTATCACAAAGATGTGAGATGTATCCAAACTGTAATACCATAATTGTGCACCCTTAATATTGAGACCAATAACAAAACACTTCTGCATCCCATTAGTGTTCAACGTTTCTGAACACTGACTTTGCCTGCTCTTTGTGAGTGGTATTGCTGGTAGGCAACAGAGTGTCATATCATACCTTTCAGCAACTTTCATAATGGAACACTCAAACATAGGAAAGCAGGGCCCGATGCTTTGAACATCGCTAAGGGATGAAACCAATTCACTAAGATATCACTCATCATACTGCCTTCCTGCAACATCTGTGCCACAGGCAACAGTGGTAACTTAACCAGCCATTCGGGTTTCATTCGTTGCCCTTTAGAAAGATTTATTGGTGAGACTACTTAAACAGTGGCACTACCACATGACACGATTCTTAAGTTTTCTGCATGTTCAGGTGCCATCATGTGAACTTTCTTGCACCTTCCTTGCAAACACCACCAGCCATTGGTGTTGAAGTGATAGCCTGAGCACTTTTTATCCATGTTCTGTTCTGTTCTGTTCTGTTCTGGTTTATCTTTGAGCGAAAGATCAGATCAAGTTTCTTGAAGTAATCAGTACCAACAAATCTGTTTAGTTTCTGTATCCTGCCTGTGTCTTCTTTGCTGAAAGAGATGTCTTCACTTCCAAAGTGTAAATCTTCAAGACAGTAATGACCAAGTTCAGTTCTCACAGAAAGCATAACTTACACTAATTTTCTCATAGAAGGTATACACGCACATCTAAAGAGTGTTCTGACTGTGAGAGGAACTCCTACATCTGCTGAGTGGATAATTCACTGTGCGAGTCAACATTCTTTGTCTTCAGAAAGAACATTCATGCAACCCATTCTGTGCTGAGTGAAGCTTTTCAACAATAAAGGTCACTTAGTGTATGGCATGGAATACTATGCCTGTTACAGGATTAGCTCACAGATGTATCCCATTTACAGCTTGTGTGTTTCCCAGGGCCTCAGAAAACCACTGCATCCTCCGAGTCCTCTATTCTGTGATACACATACAACCATCACTTAAAATGAACAAGGTCTACACAGCTTCTTCAGGATACATCAGACATGAACTTTAACAACTATCACATTTACAATATCATCAAGGTCGGCCTTTTTGTGCCCTCAGTGTCACCAAGGCTGGCACTGTAGAAGCACACTAAAAACTTCGGTTTTGTATAAAGAAAGTATTCCAAACATTTGTATGTATGTATGTAAGGGGTGGGCCATAAAAACCAAATCCCGCAATGCAAACTTCAATGATCTATTGTGCTTCCCTTTGGATTAGCCCTTTATTAATCCTACACTTTTAATATAGTGTATGACCCTGCTTATGGGGGCATCATAAAGTCACTTGTTTCCATAAGAAACTGACCCAAGTGACAAAATCTTACATAAGCTATGGCCTCACAATCACACAGGATGTGTGCAGCTGATTCGTTTTCTTGTAGGCACCTCTCACAAGTTGGGTTATCTGTCAGTCCCAACTTGAAAAGGTGTCTTTTCAGGTGGCAGTGTCCGGTAAGTAATCCTACCACCCATCTTAGTTAAACTCCAAACATTTTGTACACCAATGAATGTCATATACTCCATGGAAGCTGAAGACATATGCTAAAAAATTACAGCAACAATCGAATACTGAGGTCACTAGACAATGAAAAAATTGCACTTCCATGACTCTGTTAAGTTGCTGTATGCCAGTTACACACAGTGAGCCAATAATAAACAGCAGTGATAACATGGCAGTAGGTTTTCAGGCTTGCCAACAATACTTGAAGAATATGATTCTGAGACAGTCTACACAACTATAAGTTCAGAAAATAAACAAGATAGACACTATCATGTCAACATCTGCTTTATTTTGCTGTTAATGACTTCACTACATGTTTTGACCCTTACCTTGGCCATCCTCAGGCATACATGAACACTTGGTGCCAGTTTCTGAGTTGCATCATTTATTCAATATGAATTCATACTAGTGCCCTGATAATGCACTTTGTTATTTAAAATAATTATAATTTGACATAAAAATAATATTGAACAGGTAACAAATTAGAACATGTAAAATTGAAATTAGAGTTAAAAATTCCTAGTTAATATAACTAATAATACACTTTGTTATTTAAAACAGTTATAACTTGACATAAAAATATGGAAAAGGTGGCAAATTAAAACATGTAAAATTGAAATTGCTGTTAAAATTCCCAATTAATATAACTCATAATGGTCAATATTACGCATTTAAGTTTTTGTAACCACTACATATCTTAACGTGTAAAGATATTTTACGTTATAGTATTGTGTCGTGGGGAACTGGGAGCTGAGATCTTTTTGTGGCTTTCTAGGTTGTGCTGCTTTCAGAAAGTTTCCCATATGTGAAAGTGGATCATGTTGTTCCACATATCCTTCTCGTGTTGTATGTACAGGGCTGCAATGTTCAAGTTTTTGATATGATGTATAGATGCAGTTCCTGCAGTGCAGCAGTTCTATCTGTACAGAACCGCAACATCGCAACAAAAATAACTTCAGTCAGAATAGCCAGTGACACAGATGAGATCTGGGCCAGGCATCCCTCAAAGACAAGCATTACTGCTCCCCCCCCCCCCGCTTGAGGAATTACATAAAGTCCAAAGACAAAATGTAAATACACAAAAGTCCTTTACTTTTCTGAGACACACTGCCAAAAGCCCATTACCATGCAAATGTGCACATGCACACTGCACTCCCCCCACCAAACCAGTAATTATTATTTATTATTGCTAGTGGGGTGGGACTAAGTCCCTTGTACTGTGGCCACTTATGGCCTATTGTACCAGTCCTAGATGATAGGTGAGGGTGATTGTGGAGCAATTGGTGGAATGAACATTGGTGGGGGAAACCAAAGTACTTGGAGAAAACCTGCCCCAGCGCCACTTTGTCCACCACAAATCCCACTTGACCAGACCTGGGATCGAACCCGGGCCACCACAGTGGGAAGTCAGCAACTAACCGCTTGAGCTATGGTGCGGCCTAAACCAGTAATTACTCTACATTCCTAATTTCATTTTTATGTTCAGACACATAACAGTTACAGGCTCAACTCACCCAACATGCTTATGACTAGCAACCAATAGCTCGAAGTCTGGTCCAAACATCTGCAGGGCATCAACAAGCAACAAACTGTGGACACTTAGTGAGACACTAGTGTCATATGGTCTCTTTGTGTATGCTGCTCGCACCCCTGCTACCTGCAACTCTGCAACACACCGACCGCGAGACTGGACCTGCACTCGGACCAACCACCTTGCATGAATCTCTACGCTTTGTTAAGTTCTATAGACATGAGATTCACAGCCCTTAAATTGTCACTCTCACACATGGGCCAGGATATAAACATCAGAATCTTTAAGTCAACACAATAAACTTCAAGCAAAACTACATAGCAAATTAGCTTCGTGGCAGTAAAAATAGTATAAAAGAGACTAAGAGAATATGAACCATCACACATATGCATCATATACAGGGTGTCCTAGGAGGAATGTGCCAGACTTCGGGAGGGTGTTCCTTATGTTAAAGTATGCCTATATAACCCAAAACACCTACATCCAAAGTTGAACGGTTATGGAGATAATGGCCACAGGAGTGTGAAACTTTGACCGGTATTACACACTTGTTGATTACCAAATACATATTAAAACTGGCAGGAATATGTGGTTTCTGTAATGTTAATAATGTACGTAACATCAAACTAACTTGTGAGTAACATGAAGCCATTAAATTGAACTACAAAAAACTCACACACCATGTCATAGCTGTCCTTAGTGTTCCAAACACTATACATGACACATGAATGGCAAGCACTGACGTAACATGGCTGACATGGTAACTCATTCCTCAGGAAGGCTTCATACATGTTTCCAGTTAAATTGTTGTGAAACACAAAAGGTCCGATCAACCTGTTCCCAAGCATATCACATCATACAATCACAGAAAATCTCTTCTGGAATTTCGTTACCATTATCTCATGTGGATTATTATGGGACCATGTACGCACATTTTGTAAATTATTTACACCATCCCAGGTAAAAGACACCTCATCACTGAATAAAATGATCATGATTTATTTAAACCGTCTTGTAGTGCATACACTCATTTATCTCCTTCTCTCCCTCGCACTACATGTTTCGGCATAATAATGCCATCTTCAGGTGCTTACTTATCCACGCCAAACTAGTTCATTGGATGCCTTGTTCTCATATTAAAATAACTAAAATATGTATCTATCATATACATTGTCAAACGTTAAAAATATTAAAATTGTTCAGGATACCACATCACTACGTCGCACGTCACTGTGATACACACGCAGTCACAGGAGCAAGACACAACAAAAGCACAACACACACATGATAGTGAAGGAGTGCTCCAACAGAGGAGAATGGGCGTGACTGGCACAGTGAGGTGCGACGTAGTGATGTGGTATCCTGAACAATTTTAATATTTTTAACGTTTGACAATGTATATGATAGATACATATTTTAGTTATTTTAATATGAGAGCAAGGCATGCAATGAACTAGTTTGGCGTGGATAAGTAAGCACCTGAAGATGGCATTATTATGCCGAAACATGTAGTGCGAGGGAGAGAAGGAGATAAATGAGTGTATGCACTACAAGACGGTTTAAATAAATCATGGACTTAAATCAGTGCAACAGGACACTAAAATATAACATGAATAAAATGATGCTTAACAGTTCGGGATGAGCGTTTATCCAGTGGCATACTTTATCATAAGGAACACCCTCCCGAAGTCTGGTACATTCCTCCTGGGACACCCTGTATATGAGAAGCTTTACAAGACAGAAAATCAAACAAAACAATATTGTAAAAGTATACAGCGGACACTTCAGAAGGAAAACTTATAAATGAATAATTAAGGCTATTATGCACTTTTCCCTTATGATAAACTAATATTGAAATACATATTCAGAGAAAAAAAGATAAATCTTCAATGTTCATCATAATAACATACAATAATACAAAATCAAATAAATGGGAACTGTTTATTGTATGCTTCAATGTTGTATTACAACTGATCACTACTTAAAAATATTAAACAAATCTGATTTATAATGTTGTATTTTAGCGTCCTGTTGCACTGATTCTCATCCATGATATGTACATAATGGCCGTCTTGTAGTGCACTCAATTTCACGTCACTTCACTACATGTTTCGGCAACACTGTGCCATCCTCAGGAGCGTTATTTACGCTAAGCTACTGCATTGCTTGCCATCACGTGTCTTTCATAAAGTTATTAAAATGTACATTCTTCATCAACTATAATAAAACATGTAGTGAAGTGACATGTGAAATTGAGTGCACTACAAGACGGCCATTACATACATATCATGGATGAAATCTGATTTAACCACAGTCTGAACTCAATATGGCCTTGCTCTTGTTTTCCTGGCTTTGCTGCAACTGTGTTAAGCAGGCAAAGGCTGACTGTCAAATATTTAACTTCAGAAACAGACTGAAAGCCGCAACAATGGAGGCAGCGCCAGGAGCCCATTGCTAGACAACGGCTCAGTAATTACGTTTCCATGGCAACAAATATAACAGAACACAGAAGTGATCAGAATATAACAGAACACAGAAGAAGGCAGAATATGACAGAACACAAAAGACAGAATCAGAAGTGAAGACTTTAGTTACAGTAAGACTGTGTTACAACCAACTGTAGTTCTGCCTGGTGAATATCCAACAGATTGATTCATCTAATCCAGAACCCATTAATTACTTGTCACATTACCAGGATATGTGAGAATATGTAACACATCTATATTGTTTAATTATCTTGGACACTGTACGTATCACACAGGAAGTGTGTTGGATATAAAACATGTTTAACTTTGTAAGATTTGAGGCTTTCACGGCGGTGACTATGAAGAAAGCAGTCTTCCGGGATTTGGCACCGTGTATATGTGGTGTTAACCGACGTTTTGGAGGCATAGTTGTGTATTTCCACACAGTCTGCTTTTACCGGTTCTCACGGTCTCTCCGCTTGCAGAATTCTTATATTTTTTCTTCTACCCTGAAGATGGAGGCGATACGTTCCTCCGAAACGTCGGTTAACACCACATACGATGGGGGACCCAAAAATAACCGGAACCGACCTGTTGCGCGCGCATGCTTTGTAGTTACGAGTTGTGCTGTAGGTGGTGTTAGCTGGGGGTCTCCCGCGACTGTTAGTGAGCTGGCGTCAGTCTGAGTTAAGTGGTTTGTCTGTGGTGCTCTGTTGTGTGCGTTCCTGTTTCAACCCTTTGGTAATTAGTGAGATGGCCGACCAGAAGGAACAAAGAGTGTGCGTGAAATTCTGGATCATTCTGCACTTCACTCTTCAAGTCGCGGCAAACATTCACGCGGTTTTCTCTTTGGTCATCTCCGAGCAAGCGAGGAACAAATTTTGCAGACACCCGTCTCATGTGCAAACCTTCGGTTAAAATTCGCTGGACCGTGCTCCATGAGATGTTCGTTTCCTCAGAAAGTTGGTCAATGGTCTTTCGACGATCTTCATCAAGCAAAATTTCACACACACTCTTTGTTCCTTCTGGTCGGCCATCTCACTAATCACCAAAGGGTTGAAACAGGAACGCACACAACAGAGCACCACAGACAAACCACTTAACTCACACTGATGCCAGCTCACTAACAGTCGCGGGAGACCCCCAGCTAACACCACCTAGCAGCACAACTCGTAACTACAAAGCATGCATGCGCAACAGGTCAGTTCCGGTTATTTTTGGGTCCCCCTTCGTATACACGGTGCCAAATCCCAGAAGACTGCTTTCTTCATGTTTAACTTTCCTCCGCAGTTTCTGTCTGAAACACTCTTCTCTCTGACAAATATTTAGCATACTATACAAAGAAATGCATGCATATATTGATGTAAATTGGTTGTTAAAATGTCTGAGGTAAATAAAAATTGGAACATTTTGACAATCTTTCATAAAATTCTCCTTTATCAAATTTCATGAAAATTCATCTATTTGTTCTCAAGTTCTTTTACAAGGTGTGGCAATAAAGAAACCGGATTCATNTGTTCTGCATTAGCACTCAGCATTATTCCGACGGAGCTCAGAAACACGATCCGCTTCTAACAATGGTCGCGGCCAGACTAACCGATGCACGTGAATGAAACTTTGTGTGACGGTAGAGGGAAGTCCAAGGGTCAATGCCCTACCCTCCTCTTCGTCAATGACGTGGCCGGAAATGAGTCATAAAAGTAATCCGGGTTCTTTATTGCCACACCTTGTATGTATACAAATGGACAGATTGAATATTTAAGCTTCTCTGCAATGTTGTGAATGTATCTGTAAATAAGAGACCTACTCCAAATTGCAATTCTGCAAAAAGAAGAAATATAAATTGAACTGGAAGAAACTTGCAAATAGGATGCATAACAGCAGACTACCACAATTACAATGAAATCCTCATTCAAATTCCCTTTGGGATCAGTGGACTTGAACACCAGACTGAGGAAAACCTTAAATGGACATATAATGGTATGGTCTTATGGGTTGTAACACCATGCAGTTTGGAGGCAGCGTAACGATTCATAAGAACTTACCATTCATCTTCCGACCTGAATAGAAACCAGCAGGATCAGGTGGCAAGCTAAGCTGCCGGCTTCCACTAGTTTCTTGCTTGCCTTACTATTCAGCCTTGAAGATGGAAGTGGTAAGTACTTACAAAATGTTGAGTTCTCTCCAAATTACATGGCGTTACAACCCATAAGATCACACTCTTCATAGTCGCCGCCACAAGAACTTAGAATCCCACACAGCTGGACCTAATTTAACATTCTGAAAACTGTCTTTGTAAAACTGAAACCTAACACTGAAAAACGAAACACCCTTAAGTGATGGAACATTATATGGGAGTTCCACTATGCATAATACCCAAACATCCACCTATCCAATCTTGCTTCTCTCAAAAAGTGGGCCACAGAAATAAAAGGTAATTATAAAAATGCCTCATGACTTCAAGTCCAAGCCAATCTCCTCCACTATATCCCAACAGGAAAAGTACTGGTACCATGATTAAAGAGAGTTTATTTCCATACTAAACACTAATGAACCATTTTCTGAAAGTCACAAGAGACATGTAGATGACTCCTAGAATCTAATGATGTTTAATGAGAGTAAACAAATGTTGCTCCTTGTGTTGCAGTGTGAATTTTTCTCTAAACACATGTCAAACATCCCTTTGTCCCACACAGTGTAGCAGAACATAATACCCTTTGTTATTCTCGTGCCACCTGCGCATATAGAATTCAAGTTATTTGACTGTGTGCAGTTCATAAGTATCTCCAGCACTTCAGCAATGTGTCAACATCACGTATAGACCAGAAAAACAATAATAATTATTTCATTCTGAGCTCACTGGGGGCTCTTTGTTTGGCATTTTGTTAACATAAAAATGTCCATGGAGGCTACGACCAGCATTTTGCCGTCATGGGCACGTCCTAAAAATTGAGATATTGAAAAGTGACCTAATTTTTGTTGTGATAAAGAATTAACGTCTGAAGGTAACAGTTCTGATGCTTGTGGATGACGGTGATAAGAGACACAGGGTCAGCGATACTGGTGATGCAAGTGCAGCTACAATTGTACAGCAAAGCACCTGCCCTTCTTCTCAAATGGACTTTGACCCTTCATTTCAAACACTGGAAGAGTTTTCATCACGAATTAGAAATGCTGACAATCTTCCAATAGGAAGTGAAGTGTTCCTAGTGTAGGAATAGGCCTATGACAGTTCAGCTAACTAACTGCAGTTTCAGAAGAGTTGCAAAAGGCAAAAGCCTTCACTGACAGGAAACTTCTGTATACCTTGTACAAATGTTACTTGGTATACTGCAGTGACAAAGGATGCACAGAGTCCATAGTGACCTGGATGTTGTGACTGCAGGGATAGACTCATGCTGAAACTATGGTGCAACAAATGTAACACCTACATAGAAAGATCAACCCCTCCTTTTTCAAAGAGGAGGCCCAATTTCAAAACACGTACGTAGGTCTTACCGAAAGTCACAAGCAACTTTTTTTTTGCATGCAACCTGGGAACAGCAGATGAAAGAGAGTATGGTGGTAGATGGGACCAGCTGTTGTGTTAACCTTGAGTGTCTTGTGACATCAATAGTTTGCATCATGTGACCAGTATCACTCCTAACAAAATGGCCGACAACCATATGTCATTTTGCCAGCGTGCTGTCATCGAATTTCTTGTGAAAGAGGAAATCCCTGCTGCACAAATTCACCAGAGACTTCAGCGTGCTTATGGAAGTGTGTGCATGGGTGCGAGCAGTGTTCGAAGATGGGTGAAACATTTTAAAGATGGGAACACCAGCATCAAAGATGAGCCTCAGAGTGGTCATCCTCAAACAGCTTCAACTGAACGCAACAAGGAAAGAGTGGATGAGATCATTCAAGATGACAGGCATGTGACTGTGGACACAATAGCCTGAGAACTTGGAATAGGGCACAGTGCAGTACAGGAGACGATCGAAAGCTTGGGCTATAGGAAAGTTTGTGATCATTGGGTCCCGCGGTTATTGACCAAAGACCACAAAGGTCAGCAAAAAGCCATCACCTCAGAACTGCTGCAGAAATATTGACACAAAGGCGATGATTTTTTGCTCTGTATTGTGACAGGTGACGAAAGCTGGTTTCACCATTTCGAGCCTGAAACAAAATGGCAGAGTATGGAATGGCACCATTTGCATTCTCCATCAAAAAAGAAGGCAAAGACAGTGCCATCAGCTGCGAAGGTGATGGGCACAGTCTTCTGGGATGCAGAGGGTTTATTCTGGCTGAATTCCTTCAACCTGGGCAAACCATCAATGCTGCTTGTTATGTCCAGACACTTCACAAGCTCCATCATGCATTGCACGATAAACGTCCGGGACAAAACATCATCATCCTGCATGACAACGCTCGCGCCCACGCTGCTCGCCTCACATTGGAAGCAATTGCAAAGATGGGGTGGGAAGTTTTTCCGCACCCCTCCTAGAGCCCTGATCTGGCACCCTCTGACTACCATCTTTTCGGATTTGTGAAGGATCAGCTGCATGGACAACATTTTGAGACAAGGGAGGCAATTCAGAAAGCAATGCGTCAGTGTCTTTGGATGGCTGGAACGGAATTTTACAGAAGGGGAATTTTCAAACTCCCAGAACGCTGGGAGAAATGTGTACAAAGAAGTGGTGATTATGTGGAAAAATAAAGAAAGGTCTGTAGATTGAGGTGGTGTATTTGGTTTGTCAATAATAAAGCATGTTACTTTACAAAAAATTGTTGCTCATGACTTTCAGTACAACCCTTGTACATGGTTAGAACAGCATAAAAATCTTGGTCATGGATCTAGCGGAGAATGCAGAAATGAATGATTGTAATGGTAAAGGCCAGCAGAACTTTCAATGACTGGCCAACCAACCAACAATCTTGAGGCCCCCTGAGGATTGTCTTACTATGAATGGATGCAATATCCCCTTCATCCATCACGTAAAATATCTTGCCATAATCTCTGATATGAGGATTACATGAAGATTGCACACAAAAATGACTCAAGCCAAGGCCTTCAGAACATTTATTAGAGTCTACTCCCTGTGCAAAAAATTTTTTCAAGGTGCACACTGGTCTGTGATTTGCAGATGGCTTTCAACCTTCCCTATGTATACAATTATGCAACAAAATGTGCAGGTAACAAGCAGAAGTCATACAAAATCTTGAGTATGAATATGTATGCAGCAGAGTATAAGGCAAAGCCAGACACAGAAAATTTAAGAGGCTTAAACTTGCCGGTGATCAAGCTTACGACCGTTCAAGTGACTAAGCTGCCATTGTAGCATAAGATATGTAAGACAGACATGATCTGCTTTGCAAAGCCTGGACTTAAGAGGACTTGTACAGAGGGTACAAGGAAGAATTTTCAATAACATGCTATATGTGCAATACATACACTTGACAAAGGCGAAGCCTATTCACAAGAGAGGATGTTATATAAGGACTATGACTGCTAGAATTCAGTTGAAAAAAAAAATCCAACTCTGGTAGTCAGCTTAAAGGGGCTTGGCACCAAGATGAACTGACTAGCAGTAAGCCACCAGTCATAAAGTTACTTCATCTCTGGCTCTGACTCAGTCTTGAGTTGCAAATGAGCAGCAGCAGTTCATGGTTGACTGTGAGGAATCTCCATTGCTAGCAGCCGCTACCTGGCAATGACTAGTGAAGACATAATCAACAGAAGACTTTGTGTGTACTGTAGTTGTAGTGATCTGTGGTGTGTGTGAATCAGTGAGTTACAATAGTATGTAGTTATGAGTTATAAGCGTTTAATAAATCCAATTACTGATCCAAACCCTATGTCTAGTTACCAACATATCTGTGTGCATGCATGCATGTAAATCAAACTCATGATGACCTGTACATTTTTAGCTCTTAAAAGGGTAGGAAAAGTCATCATCCCTTCAGGAAAATACAATACTGATCCCCTCAGGTATGACTCCAAGATGCAAAGCAAAAGCAGCTGTCACAACATTACTGAAGTTAAAGAACGAAAAATTAATGTTTGACTCATCATTGAGAATTTATTCTCAATTTGATTTGAAAATATGAGCCACACAAATGCCTACATTTGATCCAAGCTACATTTAAAATAGATCTGCTAACAGCATCGCACTAATGTAGAAGACAAGTACCTCCAGTGCCATCTGATCAATGCAAAACTGGAGCACTACAAGCCGAGCCGCCTCCCTGCCTGCCCAGCCTTGTGATTCTGAAGTGTTACACTGATCTGTGCCCGTTACAGTGTCACCTACACTGTCACTGCCCGCACAGTGTTCAGACCTGAAACATAAACCATATGTGTTAGCTGTACAAGAGACACAAGGGTATAAATGGGAGGACTACATTATATTTATTCATAGCAGAGATACTGCCTGTAACTCACACTGCACAGCGCCAACGATGGTATCGTACTGAATAATGAAATGGGAAATGATATGGAAGGAAGTGGTCATGGCATAACATTAAATAATATCCCAATATAAAAACACCAAAAAGAACAGTCAATGTACAACCGTTTCAAGTGACTTCCAGAACAAAAGTAGTAACATCAGTGGATGGCCAGACACATAAAACTCTGGAGACTTATGTTCCTCTTGTTCCTGTGTGTTCTCTTGGGTGAAAGGACGTCCGCTATATTGCTTTCCCCCATTTTCAGCAATATTGCAGAGTCACAAAATGTTAATTTTAAGTAGTAAATTACAGAAGAGTGGCAAACAAATTTCTAATTCACTGCAACAACAGCAGGTGCAATAAGTGCTCCATACTTCTGAATAATGTTGCATACACACTGACCACAATGAAACAAAAATCCTTGTAAATTCCTGAGTCTCCTTGCTGTTAATAACAGTATGATACTAGGTAATGTCATATATGTAACCGTGTTCCACTGTCCAGAACTGAAGCATTACATTTTGCAGTCATCAATATTTTCTATATTGATACAATCATTGTCTCTATCTATACCTTGTTCTAGATACCATGTGGTACCAGAAATGTATTTCCGAAGTTCCACATCTACAAAGCTATCACAGAACAGCCAGGCTTCATGTGTGTGGGTCTCAATGTGTTATGAAAGTAAATACTCACCTAAATGGAGAAGGAAGTCCATTGCCACTAATAATGGCCACCATAGTTCTCAAAGCATCAATCTTCTGTTCATTGACATGAACCACTAATCGAGGTAAGTTTCCAGAGAGAGTGAGGCTTGGAAATTGGGGATCAGTTGTGAAGACAACTCTGCGTTCCACTTGTAATGAGATGTTGAAACGATCAACAACATGCAGAGTGGAGGTACCACGCTGGTGAGCATACTTGAAGTTGTCACGCACACGACCTACCAAAATCTGGAGATCTCCAAGGTCCATCGTATACCTGCAGCATTGATCAATGTACACAAGGCTACTTCCTCAATAAGCACTGGTGACACTATAACAAAGTAAAAACTGATTGTAGTATAAAATTATATAATGTAATTTTAAAAACTAAAATGTATCTCATTACACTTAAATATCATGTTGTAGTTATGTGGAATGTGGCCATTTACTGTTGCTATACCAAAGAATTTTGCTGTTGTTGTCATTATCATTGTTGTAGTCATAGCACCTGTTGTTCTTGTTGTCATTGTTGTTTTTGTTGCTGTTGTTGTTACTGCTGGGGGGGGGTTGTGTGTGTGTGTGTATAAAAGCATTTGTGTGTACACAAAACATCAGTAAATACATTAATATTGTGGCATGTAGATCCATTGCTGGTAATGGTCGGAAAACAATGCCAGTTTTAGGGCAGCAGATTCTTAATAAACGGGGTTAAGCATCCCATTGTTGGGTGACATGAACACTTTCCTACAAAAATGGTTAGCACACGAGAATGAATGGTGTGTTGTCTATATGGGCCATGCTGAAGAGTTATGAAGAAGACACCTGGGGCAACCAAGTCTGTTCTGTATGGGAGTCTGTGGAAAAAAGAGGCAGTTAGAAGGGAGCCCCCATTCAGAGAGGACTTGTGCACAGAAGTAGAGGACTAGCCATTACCCAGCAACTACTAGTGAAGACACTGCAGGCTTCAAAAGACTTAGCATGATAGTGTAAAGTGTGGATTAATCAATAATGTTATAGTTATTTGTAATTATGACCTATAAGTGGTCAATAAATATAATATCCAATCAAAAACTCCATCTATAGTCACTCTTTACTATGTGACAATATTTTATTCTACATTGGATAGAATTTTTACCTGAATATAGACAGAAGGATAAGACTAAAGTAGATGTTACAAAAACGGTGTGATGGTGAGGACTGGATTCATCTGGCTCAGAACAGGGACCAGTGGTGGGCCTTTGTGAACACTGCAATGATACCCCATTCTATAAAATGTGAAAAAATTCTTGACTAGCTTGCAGATTATAAGCTTCTCAAGGACTCAGATCCATGGAACTGACTGCTTTCTTATATTCATACTAGGAGGACTTCTACAGTAAATGTATTACTTGAGAATGAATCTATAAGGAAATATCAAGAGAGGGGATATCAGTTCTCACTTCTGTGACTATGTGAAGTCTTGTGAAGAACAGAAGTAGAGCTGCCATTAATGGTGCAGTTCTCTGCTTCCAATCATCAGAATGAGTGAAAATATGCAAGTCAGCATCACATACAGGCACTGTTGGTGCCCACTTCATAATCTCTCAGATTTACCACATTTTCTTTCTCTGCTGTCCAGTCTTAGCATTATGACCAAAAAACATTTTGTAAACTGAGTGTTTCTATCCTCAGATGAGGACATGTAGCTTTCTGTTCTGTTCTGAGATTCTTCACCTTAGCAACTGAGTGTGGAAACAGATTCAGTTTCGAGAGTGTTGTGTTGTCTCTGAGATACTAAGATCATCCAGTAACATAGAGTGTAACACACCACTGTCAAAAACCTTTAGAACTGGCTCACAAAGCAGGTTCAATATAATCTCAGAAAATAATGACTTTATAAAGAGGCACATATCACTTAAGTACAGAATGTGCCAAAATATATAATACTGAAATGAAAAGACAAACAATATTACCTTGTTGCCATCTGTGAGTTTATTTCTCCTGAAAAATACTAACATACACACTATTAGCATGTTGATTTACAACGGTATGCGTAATGTAAGTTTTCGAAGTGTGCACCGCCTCATTGTAGACAGTGTTCATATCGTTCACGCAGATTCTCAATCATACCCCAGAATAAAGGTTGCTGCAGACTCCTGCAAAAGGAGACGATGTGCTCGCGTAATGCAGACACAGTTCTTGGTGGATCTTCACAGGTGAACACACTCTCCTTTAACATTCCCTACAGGTAGGCATCAGGTGGTGTAAGATCTGGGGAATGGGACAAGTATGGAAGTCAGGACCACATGAAATGATTCGTCCTGGAAAGTTTTCCTCCATCATGGCTAGAGATTCTCAAACGGTACGGCTGGTAGCCCCGTCCTGTTGATACCACTGTCTATTCATGTGAAGGCCCCTTGCATGACAGAACCTTCTCAAATCCTGAAGAAATGGTCTGATCACCATGTACCTGTAGTGTTCTTGGGTGATGGTAAGAGCATTGCCTTCCTCATCCTCATCCAGACTTCCCCTTCCATTGACACAGTACACTACCAGAACTGCGAAATTTTGTAACAATAGACAGCATAACTGTGTTATTTGGTGCTGTCTTGGAATTGTTCTGTCACCTTTTTCAAACTCGGTACCCCTTCACAATCACTTCCGTATGAGCGGAAATAATACTCAACTATGAATACTTTTTCCTCCATAGAGAGACCCATTTCCAACAACAACTGCACAACACAACTTCCTTTTCACAATTGGGAACACGTGCGGCTGGAGCTATATCCCGTCGACAAACACACATGCGCATTCGAGATGCACGAGTTTCAGTACTGATATTTTGGTGCATACTGTAGATGTCACATAATATCTCAGCTTTCAGCTACATGAGCTGGACCTGCTGAATCACTTTATAGCAGGACAAACTGTCAAGTGCTCACCCCACTGGGGCTACTTACCTGTCATATAACTTCTGATGCAATGTGAGATCAGTAAAACTGCTGTTCAGAAAGTTATCTGCTCGTGATGGTGCTGTTACAGTGTGGCTCTCTGAAAGGCTTGCTTCACTGCCATGTGGAGTTGAGCAGGGTGTCTGGAAATCTTCTGTAAAGATCAGAATCATCACAGCGCTAGAATAATAACACATCTGTATCATCATATGAACTATGATAAACTTCAAGGCCATAGACTTCTGGGATATGACAGCATGTACAAGCTTGTAGCTTCAGACAGGTAGCAACATTTCAGAGCAACCTGCTGCCTGTATCTTCTAACCTGAAAACAAGGGCAGCAGGTTCCTCCAAATGTCTGTACAAATCTACAGGGCGGCATAGGAAATGACCCAGTATTTGATCGACGAATAAAATCCTTATTTCAGTTACAATACCAGGAACTAAAAACAAAAAGAAAGACCAGTGCATGGAGATGGAGATTGATTAGTGCTCTCAATTCCATCACTGTTTGAGGCTTTCTCTGAGAAATCTTTTCCTTAAGGAATCCCAAAGAAAGTAGTCACATGGGATTAAATCAGGACTATTCAGGAGCCATTTCTGTCAACATGTGAAATGATCAAAAAATCAGTTAGAGATGACATGCTAGTCGAAAGTGTCAGGCAGAAAGTCCAAAACAACATTTGCTGTGTGCGGCCTGGCTCCATCCTGCATGAACCACAAACCTGTATCAAGAAGGTGAGGCAGCACAAAGTATCGCACAATATGCTAAAGTAGCACTCACTGTACACTGTCTCTTGAAAGAAAATTGGCCCCAGCAGTCCATGACTTGAGATCGCAACCCACATCGTAATTCTCGGTGCATGAGGTACCTTCTCATGAATCACATGTGGATTCTCTGATGCTCAAAATCACACACTTTGTTTATTAACAACACCATCCAAGTGGAGGTGTGCCTCATCAGAAAACCAAACATTGTTGAATGATACCTCATTATTCTGAGCCCATTCAGCAAATTCCATTTTTGATGACTGTTCTGAACTGTAAGTTTAGGCAACTCTGTCAATTTGTATGGATAAAATTGAAATCATTTTTCAAGGTTGGTTGTACTGATTGTCTGGATATTTCTAATTGTTCATTTAGTGGGTCTTCTTTGCCATACCACTCTGACAGTGTCAGTGTTCTCTGGAGAACACACAGATGAAGGCTGACGATGTTTCCTCTCCAACACCGAACCATCATTATTAAACTCGTTACAAAGTTTCTTAACATTTTTTTTTAATGAAGGCACCCATCGTGTATGAAAATTGGAATGAAACCGCCTCTGTGTGACCACAGCACTTCTTGTTTCAACAAAGAATAACACTGTTTTTATGGTTTGTTCTACAGACAAGTCTTCCTTTGTCAGCCATCTTGGGTACATGAGCAGGAACAGCACAGTACTATGTGTTCGGGAAGAGTAAGAACTAGTCTTCGTGATCTACTGTAGGTGTTCCTGTGTTACAAAACATCGTTCATTGCATGGTTGAATTAATACTGTCACATGTATCAGTGACTAAACATGGGGCTCAGATTGGTAATTGGATCTACTGATCACTTACAGCTCATAACTACAATTAATTATAACATAAATAAAGTCTCCTCTATCTGCTTACACTAGTTGTTGCTAGGTAACAGATACAAACAATGGCTATTACCCTGCAAAGTTTTCCTTATCCATTTCCTGGCAATGAATTTTAACACAAGAACTATAACTGTCACACTCTCAGACACGACTGCACTACAGCACATAAAAAGTCTTCAAATCATACATTAAGCCTTCAAAGGACAACTTCTAATTCTTCACACTTTTTAAGTGTAAGTAAGTGTAATTTTAACTAAACAAGAATTATTCATAGGGATACATACAAGCTGAGTGGCGTTGTGTAACATTCCCTACAATGTGCAACAGTGTCATGACTCACAATACATCTCAGCAGTTCATCTTACTGGCTATTCAAGCAAAGTGCTTAGTTCAGTTCTGCACTGTACATCACTGGTGTCAACTACATCTTGATAAAACTTTGAGAAGCCCCCATATCATTTAAAAAAAGGCTAAACATTTCAAATATGTGTGCCAAATGGCTTTAAATTAGTGTGTACACACAGACTCTTTTGTTTTGTTCACAGTAATTGTAATAAACTTTCTGATACCCAGTAAAAACTTATGGTACCTGCAGCAACATCAGTAAAATACAGTGGATTCCTGAAGAACAAAAACAAATCGAGAATGTAACCAGAATCTGCTTTATAATTGGGACACCATACCACATGGCACACTTGAGATTACCACATCTTCAATGAGTCACTGACTCAGCTTAACTGAGTCACCCAGCTACAGTTGCTCTGTCTTGCTGTGATTGTGTTTGTGAGTCTACTGTGGTGTGTGCAGTGATTTTTTCATTTAAGATTTTAAATCCCTATAGAAATGCATAGGAGAGGTGTAACACTAGCTGACAAAATTGCTTTACTTCAAAAAAATTAAAAAATGAACCACCTAACACCAGTCATCACCAACTGGCAGACATAATCGGAGTACCAAAATCCACAATTGCATGCGTTCTACAGCAGCAAGGGAAACTGCGAGATGGATGGACAGACATTATACCACAGAAAACTGGCAACATCCAAAAACCTGAAGCATGGAGGTAAGGATCCAGATGCTGATGAGGCCCTCAAATCAGTGGATCTCTACCGTAACTGGATGAGATGTGCATCAGTGGTCCCAATGTCAAATAGCAAATCTGTGGAGTTAGCTAAGAGGCTGGGTCATAACAATTTTAAGCAACAGGTGGCTGGTTGTCTCAATGGAAATGTAGATTTGGGATAAAATTCAAGAAGGCACATAGTGAGAAAAGCAGTGCTGATGCTGTGGGTGCTGAACAATGGAAATCCACAAAGCTGCCAAACTTGCTTCAGAAATTCTGTGCAGATGATATCTGCAGTCCTGATAAAACTGGTTTATTTTACTGTGCCACGGCAGATGGCAAACACACCACTATAGCTCAGAAAGTTCAATGGATCATGTAACTGCGTTGTGCTGTTCGAACACGTCAGGAACTGATACATGAAAGTCATTGTTATTGGGAAAAGGGCTTAGCCTCAGTGCTTTAAGGAGATTAGTATGGACAGTTTACCAGTTCTGTACTATGCCAGGAAACATGCGTGGATGACAGCTGAAATTTATAAGAAATGGCTAATGAGTTGGAAAGTTGAATGACAACAGAAATTGAGGAAAATTTTACTGGTTCTTTATAAATGCAGGACACCCTCAATTAGATTCCTTGAAAAATATCCAACAGGAATTTCTGTCTCCCAACACCACATCCCTGGTATAGTTAATGGACATGGGAATCATAAAAATTTTGAAGACCTTATATCACACAAAATTGGCAAACTATATCCTGAAAGCAATTCACGAAAAACTATTGACATATCTTCAACAGCTAAGGAGGTCAGTGCAAGCAGCTAAGTTTAGTGCCAACAGTTGATGAAGAGTAAGCACCAAGACCATTCTGAACTGATTTGTTCATTATGGTTTTAAACACTAAGACCTGGAGGTGCCAAATAAGGTCAAGTGAAAATGATGTCATATTGGAAATGCATCACGTTGGAAATCATGAAGAGTTTCCATGTATCGACAATAGTCTTCAACATAATAATGAAAATGAAGATTCTGAGGAAGCAACTGTCGAACAAATTGCGACAAAACAACAGAAGACGTCAGAAGATAAAGGAAAGTGATGAGGATGACATGACTGAGCGTGAGCGAGTAACCAACCAGGATGCCAGGAAATTTACTGCTGGACCATAACTTTATTTCCTGCAGAAATGCAATAAAGAGAGTCCTATATGTCCACTAGAAACCTACGCTGAGTTTGTTCAATTGCAGTCAATCAAGATAATATGGCAGGGTATACTCAATCAATTCCTCCATTGTCACTTACTGTCAACTGTGTGTTGAATATGTAAATGAATCAAATTTGTTTCTAGGGTAAATATTTTTCTGTGATTTGCACCAATTGTTCCAATTCATCCAAAATCAGTATTCTTGTTACTCAATAAATGGAAAGTTTATCTTTTGTATACCTCTTTAAACTTTTACACGTTTAATTGGAGCAATGTACTCTAGTTCTGACTGTCCCAATTAACTGGAATCCACTGTATAAAAACATGCCATCATCTGAATAGTATTTCACAGAGACAGTGAGACATTTTGCAACATAAATTAGTGATATGTACAATTTTCATTAATACAGATCAGATGTTACCTCAAAGTTTCATACTCCCACCATGTACATAATTTCTGACACATACAAACTACTTTTGCATAATATTTACAGGCATGCTTATACCAAGGATCATATGCTGAGATACATTGATATTTGAGGCTATTTCTTTTGAGAGCATTATCTTATGCTGATATCACTGAACCACACAGTCAAGCTGACAGCACACCATCCTACTCTGCATTCAGTATATCTTGAGTTCAAATCTCACCCTGGAAGTAAACCATTCTGACTGAGATTTACTGTGGTTTTCCTCAGCTCCTCCTGTCAAATGCTGGGAGAGTAAATGAAAATTGTTCATGAGCATTCTTTCAATTTCATCACCTATTACAATTGCCACAAAACAAATGGAACTGCTGAGTAGCCCCAGAAAGATTGCAGTGAAGTGACTGAATGCACAGTATAAGTCTCACCTTCGTCATCACTGTCTCGAGTCTGAGAGGCAGCTGGGGCAGTACGGTCTGTGTCCAGCTGATTACTGAAGTGCAACTTGCCAAAATCCACCACTACCATAACAGCATTCTTATCACAGAAATGTTCCACAAACAAAATCCGAGGACCCCAAATATCCAACATGATGTCCCATGATTTTCGATCATTCTGAAAACACACAACAAATGATTTACCCAAAGACTTCATATATTGAAAATATCATCATACTAAATTATTTCCCATGGCCATGACATTATTTCCACTTTCTAAAGAAAACCACCTTATATAATGTTACATACTTTACGAAGATTTATCACCATGCAAAACTTCATGACTCCACATCACCAGTCCCTCCTACCAAGATCATGTGTCTGCCTTGTCAGTGGCACTAATGACAGGCAGTTGAAAACTGGCCACTCCATAAAAAGTGTCACATTCAGCCAATCAACAGCCATAACACTCAGTTATGATATAGACAGAAAGACACAAATAGTTTATTAAATCTGTTCCTTTGAATGAGAACCATTACGTCTGATATTAAATATAAGGTGGTTCAAATATGACCGGGACTGATTTGTGTGCAAACAAGCGGCACTGCACAGCAGCTGTGCGACCTTGAGAGAGTCAAGCCACAACCTCCACCCTCCATCCTGTTCGGGTTAGAACCTGTTCAGTCCTGTCTGGGAGTTGCTAGAGTGATGAGCGAACAGAAGGTACCACAGAGCATGGAACAAGGCATTGTGATCAAATTCCTCGTTGCAGAAAACATCCCGTCCGCTGAAATTCACCAGACTCCAACAACAGTATGGGGAAGAGTGTCTCTCATGGACCTGTGTGTTTGAGTGGCATAAGTGCATCAGAGAGGGCAGAGAGCACTTGGAGAATGAACCACATGATCATTGGCCATGAACATCCATCACCGTGAAAAACATTGACCGTGCAGACGTGCTTATTTGTGAGAATGGGCGCACCACTATCAAGGAACTTGGAGCAATGCTGTCCATCAGTGTTGGTAGTGTAGAAGACATTGTGAAATACCACCTGCACTATCACAAGGTGAATGCACGGTGGGTACCATGCACTTTGACGGACATGAACAAAATGGTGCGTATGCAAGCTGACAGTCGTCTCCTACAGCAGTTTGAAGATGAAGGTGATGCATTTTTGAAGTCTGTATTGACCACCAATGAAATGTGGGTGCACTACTTCATTCCTGAGTCCCAGTAGTCATCACGCGAGTGGCGGCATACCAGTTCTCCCAAACCCAAGAGAGAGCGGAGGAGCCGTTCAGCAGGAAAAGTGATGGCAACATTCTTCTGGGACTGGCAGGGGGTTATCCATGTAGACTTTCTGACAGATGCCAGAACAGTCAATGCAGCTTATTGCTCAGACCTCCTGGCAACAGACGTGAAGGAAAAGTTCCGATCCAAGCGGAAGACAGGTGGAAAGCGGGTAGCCTTCCTTCAAGACAATGCACGCTCCCATACAGCCAAAACAACAACGGAAACCCTATTGAAATTGAAATGGAACCTTCTATATCCACCGTACAGTCCCGATTTGGCCCCAAATGATTTCTACCTGTTCGGAAGGCTCAAATCAGACTTGCAAGGCATGCAGTTTGTGGACAATGATGCTGTCATCCAGACTGTTCAGGAGTGGATATGCCTCCAACCACAAGCTTTTTTTGAAGAGGGCATCAGGATGCTTCCAGAATGTTGGAAAAAATGTGTTGACTCCAGAGGGGAGTACGTTGAAGACTGACATATGCAAGTAAGTGTTTGGCAATTATGTTTTTAAAAAAAAAAATCAGTCCGTCATATTTGAACCACCTTGTATATCACATCTCCCACTAAATTCACAATAATCTGATTCCTAATGACAGCAAAAGGGCCCCACTAATTGTTTCAATTCCAGGACAGGGTATAATATGGTGACAAGAAAGCCTGAAGAGACAGCTATTGCTAGCCATTGACAAAGTAAACAAATGATGTCAGTAAAGGATGAGTTGCTGCTACACAATGGCCAGTAAACAACAACCATGATGCAGTGTTTTATACACGATCCATCCCAGGGCTATATAGCGAAAGCCATCCATGCAACTCAGTTACTGCCATGGGTCAGAAATGAAACAACCACCAGTTGATAAGGACGTGAACATAGAAGCTGAGGAATCTACACCGTTGGGAGCTGTTACCAGGTAATAACTAGAGATGACAAACTGAGAAAACTTAGTGTGTGCTATGATGAGAAGTCAAGTTATTTTAAACTAGTGAGAGTATTATAATTACTTGTAGTTATAAGTGCTCAATAAATCCACTATATCAATCCAAACCTTGTGTCTAGTTACTAAATCATAACAGTTTCATTATTTCATTCAATTCCCTTTCTACCCATCACAAGAGACTTGTAAGGGGAGTCTATACAGAGTGTATCACAACTCAACGGCAAAGCTTCAGGATCGGACTCCTCATGTAGAGAGAAGGGAAAAAGTATATGACAACATGGGTCCAGAAATGCATATAATTACAGAGTAGTGATTGTGTCTGCACGCCACTCAAAAGAATTGGCGACATGAGTGCTTTTTATCGATGGGTCAGCCTTTCACTGGGAGGACAGCCTTTCTATCGGTGGGTCAGCTTTTCACTGGGAGGACAGCTCTATGATTATCATGACGTCATCTCTGATTACTTTGTGATAAATTTTCTTCTGCCAATTCTTTTCAGTGGTCTGCAGACACAATTACTACTCTGTAATTATATGCATTTCTGGGCCCATGTTGTCATAAACTTTTTTCTTCTCTCTATATGAGTCCGTTCCTGAAGTTTTGCTGTTGAGTTGTGATACACCTTGTATAATATAGTACACAAAAAATACCTGTGTGGCATTCTTTGCAGTTATTAAACTTAGTTAAAAACTGGAATAATGAAATTCAATCAATGGAAGTCTCCCAACTCAAACTTCAACAGAACTTGTGGAAAGTTCAATTAATGGCATCTTTTACACCAGGTTTCATGACCATTCAAAATGGCTTAAAACTGTAATTCCTTAAACAATCTTACTGAAGCTCTCACACATTAAATTTCAAGAAAATCTTTTCAACAGTTTAGGTACCGACACTAGGTCACAGACAGGATATATGAGAGGCATTCCCACCACAATTTACAAAGAATGCCTAAAAAAGCCTTGAAGTCTCCTGTCAAGAACAGAAAGATACAATTTATGAATGCATTACATCTAACACCTGGGTAATGTCAGACTGCAAGTGAACTTGCCAGCTTTCCTTCCAGAATCTGTTCCCAGTTACGCATGAATTCTTCCTTTGTCTTCTGTTTCACAGCTTCGTAGCGATGTCGCGCAGCATTACGCAGCTGTGCATCTGGTGCCTGATGAGGTCGTGTAAAGAAATCTGCCAACCATTTGACTGCAGCAGGGTTGTAAACTACATCCAGTGAGCGTGACTGAATATGCAACCTATTGCAAATATCATAAAAGAAAACAAAGATATTAACGTGTAGATAAATGTGCAGATAAACTGTAAAGATCTGCCACACAAACAGGTTTTCACAGAAGCTTAGGAAATACTGTGACATGTTGCGCAACGGAGAACCCCTCCCTACCCAGCAATAACGTGGCAACTCAGGCCAGTGACGTGGCGGATGAGTCAGCGCTCCCTCCCCCCCTCCGCGGTGATGTAACGCGCAACGCACGGTGACGTAAGACGGCGCGAGGTAACAGCGTTGCTAGGCTATATGCAAACATGGCGACGCGGCACCGCTTCCTACTGTGACGTGGCACGCAAGAGGCACCACTGCGGCTATATAAGGGAATTGCACAGCAGCTACGAGAGTTGTAACGTGGCCATCGCCGAAGACAGTTCAGAGTTAGTTCCGAGCAAGCCTACGAGCGAGTGTGTTATCAACAGTTCTCAAGGCAGCAGCCTGCGAGTCGAGTTGGAATATAGCAGCCGTCGCGGAAAGAAGAACCGGACGTGTGTGTAATTGTGTAATTGGGAGTGTGTGATACAGTGATACATAGCTCCCCTACTGTAAACGTGTAGACTACTGAAGACAGAGTGAACTGATTTGCGCATAGGGTTATAAAGTGTGAAACCCCGCAACTGTGGTAACAGATTATTGTGATTAGGGTTATAAAGTGTGAAACCCCGCAACTGTGTTATAATTAATTGTAGCCGTTATTTGTAGATTGTTAAATAAACCAATTAACCATCTCTACGGCGTATTCAGTAACGAAACACGTTACAATACATTGGCATGTTTGGGTGATGACATAAAATTGGAGAAAGTAAAGAATTCAACAATACTGGGAATCAGTACACCAAACTTTATTACCACCCAAAAGTTCATAGTCTCATAAACACACATCTACTTAAATCTTTACCTATAAAATGCTAAAACTTGTTTTTGTATTGTTAGGAGCAATGAACAGCAGTACACTCAAGTCAGTATCACAACATTCACTTCTGCTTAAAAAAAATTATGGTTTACCTCTGGATTGCAGCACTGCTTAGTGCATTTTGTTATTTTGTTAAGTTTGGTATATTGCATCTGTCCTTCCAGAAATTCTCACATTCACAGTTCACAAATTCAGTGAGAATGTGTTGTGTGGACCACAGTGAAGCAGAATACAGCGTGACCAGGTGTGATACTGATAACCGTGAAAATATCCTGTTGAAATCTCAAAAAGATTTATGATAGTTTAAATACAGAATCATAATATGAAAAAGATAAACTCGGCAAGGGAAAATGTGTCTTAAAATGTGTAATTAATTAGTAGAAATATTTCTGCTAAGGTATCAAACCCCACTTCTCAAGTCACCCTTCTCACTGCTCAGTCAGTGCAATGATCCCGCCATCCCGGCTCCAGGCAATAAAATATATCAAGGAATAGTGACAATTACAAATGTAACCATCACTATATTTTACATCATATTACAAAAGAAATCAGAGTGAACATACTGAAGGAACAGTCTCTGACAGGGCATAAATGAAATTAATAACCAGGAAATAATAATATAATCTTACAATTTTGTTCTGTAAAATATTTAAAATCTCAAATAGATCCAATGCCTCAGACTACAGCCTCATTCTTGGTTGACACTCAGAAGGACAACTAATGGATGAATTGAGGAGGATTTGGAAGGAAGTAGTCATGGCTTATTGTATGCCATAAAATTTATGGCATTATCAGAACATTTGCCTGGAAGGACTAAACAAAATTAGCAAGATTCTAAGTCAGAACAGTCAGCTCCTGGACCAACTGAACTCTGAATACAAAGCAAGACCAGTAAGCACCTACCAAATAAAACAGGTACATCTTTTAAGGAATGCATCCTGTTGTGTGTTTATATAAGTTTTTATTAATTCCTGTCAAGCACAACAGACACACTGACAATGGAAGGCCTAGCACAACAAAGAGTGAAACATCATGCTTAATTTTAATTTTTAATTTATTTTAACTAATGGTGAGAACAACCATTAAGCATAATATCAAGAACAATGGTATCTCAATAGGTTTTATTAGTATAATATTTTAAAACTCCTTAAGCATTTGGTTTATACATGATTTTAAAACAATTTTAGGTTCAGTGTAGGAACACACTGTATGTATAAAGGTGATTAAAATAATGACAGAAGTGTGTCACATTTTTTCATTTTGTAACATACTGAGATAAGGAACCATATAGGTCACAATTCAGTGTTAATAGGACTTGTTATTTGTATCGGCTGAGTATGGCTCTATAAGCCAAAACATGTAGCAACACCGTATTCTAGACCAATAAAACTCAGCTGTACACAATAAAGTGTGAGTGAGTTATTTGGTGAACTGTTGTGTTTGAAAGGAAATAATACAAAAATTTATATGTAAAACAGTTACACCTTTGCTATTCGATTCACTTACTTGTAATCCATGTTGGAGCTGAAAGGCTGGTACTCATAAACCAGTCTGAAGAGGGGTTCCTCTGTTTGTGGTCTGTTTGGGACAGAATTGTGACTGAGCAGCTTGGCAAGGCCCGGTGTATATGCGCGCCCCAGAACTAACCCACAGTCATGATCATGGGGTCCAACCAACTGTGGGAATGCTGTATCACATGTCAGATGATCACGAAGATACATGGCTCCCAGACTAATGTGAAACTTGTGCGAGCCTGAACGTGGTCGAGATTCTAAGCCCAAGTTCACATTTTCAAACTGAAGCTCCATTAAAGGTAAACTGCAAATAAAATTAACTGTGTTTACTGCCTTGTTTATATAAGTCCCCTCAATAAAACTGGGCAATACTGCCACATATCCCATCTGCTGCTGTTACCATGCCACTACTAATACGGAGCAGGAATGAAAGACGGGAGGGAGAAGAAAAGATACACATTGTGGCATGTACGTGTGCGCACACGTGCGATGTTATTATGGCGCCTATGAACTGAAGCTGCAACAAAGACACCAAAACATTGTACACTTAAGCAAAAAATAAACGTGACAACAATTCTCAATGTGTTATAATTCAAGTCTTTTACAGATGTTTATCTTTGCAGAGGTACATGAGACGTCAAATAAACTAATGAAAACTGCAAGATTTGCAATGTTTTCTCTCCTTTCAGAATGTACACCAAGTCACTCCACCGGCCCTCCTCTTGGCAGTCCCTGGAAGCAGAGGGTTGGCCTGGTTGACTAAGATTGGTGATGCCCCAATGCAAGGTGTGAGCTAATGTGACAAGACCTATACAACATTGCCCTTGAGATATAAGGTAATCTCCCATTGTATCTAGCCATCTCCTCCTCACATGCAGGGGTCTATGCTGGGTGACCAAAGTCACACTAGCTTCTCATTTGACATCAACGAAAAATGTTGTCACAAAAATGTCAGAAAGGGCTACTCCAGCAGTCTCAGAACACTCTTGACAACCATAAGGTTCCACTGTGATCAGGCATATCCCATGAGTGCTCAGCTGCTGGGTCTTTGTCATGGTGAAGAAGTAGCCAACATCCCTTGGGAGCTAAGACAAGGGGTCCTCTGACAGTGAGGCTGAATGAGATCTTTTTGTGACAGTGGGTAACCTAACTGAAATAGCCAACAAAAAAAGAGGACCAGATAAAAAGGCTCTTCTCAAGATTGATGAGGACTCATCTGGAAGCCCAGTTGCATGTGCAGCTGGGATTCTGCTGCACCCATCACTGGGCACCACTTCAAAGATGCTGTCACAGTTGATGGACAGTGACAGGATGAACACTGACAGAATTCCTGAAGGGGGAGCTGTCCCTCATTTTCATGACATACTTCCATAATGACAAGCAGTATATGTTATAGTATTCACTGATCACCAAGCAAAGGAATGGTTCTTAAGGGCCAAGCCAAAGCTAGACCCTGGGAGGTGGTATACCAAGGGAAACGGCACCTTCCTCAGAAGATTAAAACCACAAAATCTGAGCCTAAAGACAGGCCCATGGCACTTAAGGGCCAGACCAAAGCTAGACCCTGGGAGGTGGTGTACCAAGGGAAACAGCTACCTTCCTCAGAAGATTAAAACCACAAAATCTGAGCCTAAAGACAGGCCCATGGCACTTAAGGGCCAGGCCAAAGCTAGACCCTGCGAGGTGGTGTACCAAGGGAAACAGGCACCTTCCTCTGAAGATTACAACAGCACAATCCAAGCCCAAAGACAGGCCCATAGCAAGTCTGCAACTGTGAATCAGGCTCCCCTAAGGGAGTCTGGCTTGTCCTGGGAGTGGATATTGCTTCAGTCAACATTCTCAAGGCTCAGAATTTCCCCTCCCATCCCTACCCACCTCATATATGAATACAGGGCTCTCTTGCCTGCAGATCAATCTGTAATGCAGTCAAGCAGCCACTCACATACTGAGTGAAAGGCTAACAGTACAACAGACAAATACATCCCTAACACAGAAACAATAACAGACTTTCAGAGGCGGGGTAAAAGGTCCAGCAGATTGTCAAGGTACATATATTATTTCTCTGTGCCCCCCTAGAAAGACCCACACCATATGTACATACATCAAGTACAAACACCACACCAATTCTGGATGTCTAGTGTGGGCACTGCTGATCCTCATGATGTAAAAGGTCCATGGTGACAGCATAAAGGTGGTGTTGTGTCTTGCTGTATGACTCAGAGGATCCTCTGCTGTCTAATGAGACAGTGGAAGTCATAAACTACTGCAGGGAAAAGCAGCTGGACCTGATTCTGGGAAGTGATACTAACTCTCGCCCATGTCATGTGCAGTAGTTCAGACATCAGACATTAATCCCCTGGGGTACGGTTTTGCTGGGGAACCTGGGTACTACAGATTTAAAGTTACCAAGTCAAGGAGACAAGCCTACCTTCCTCACTGAGGGACAGCAAAAGATTATCAATCTTACTCTATGTCCTGGTTGATTAGTGAGAAAAATCTGTGGATGGAGGGTGTTGCCAGAACTGTCACTATTGAATCAACTCAGGGTGAACTCAGCCTCTAATAGAAATAAGTACCAGGAATCTTCTTGGGGGTATAGGGCAGCTGGCATGTAAGGCTGACAACCTCACCGCCATCTGTGAGCGGAGTGTCTAGAACACGTGGCAGTCTTGACACCTCACAAAAGTATGGGCCTCCACGGCCTGTTACAGGGATAGCTTTACCTTTTACCTACTAGGTCTTCTATAAGGACTTGAGGGGCAAGCTTACAGCATGTCGGGTTTACAGTGGCACTCTGGAAGAGAGTGAGATAGATGTGGAACTTCTGCAGCAGATCATTCCTATTCATATGAAAAAAATTGCCCCTTATGAACAAGTGGGATCAAGAAGTAGGTTCCTAGCTGGAGCCCTCAATTAGGAAACTGGAAAACTACTGAATGAGGCCAGAACAACCTGAATGCCTTTATGTTGTATTTTAGCGTCCTGTTGCACTGATTCTCGTCCATGATATGTATATTGGCCATCTTGTAGTGCACTCAATTTCACATGTCACTTCACTACATGTTTCGGCATCACTGTGCCATCTTCAGGTGTGTTATTTACGTCAAGCTATTGCATTGCTCGCCATCATGTGTCGTTTATAAAATTATCTAAAATGCGCTCTGTTCACTAACTATAATAAATGTTGATATATACAAATTTTATTATAGTTAGTGAAGAGTGTGCATTTTAGATAATTTTATAAACAACACATGATAGCGAGCAATGCAATAGCTTGACGTAAATAACACACCTGAAGATGGCATAGTGATGCCGAAACATGCAGTGAAGTGACATGTGAAATTGAATGCACTACAAGACGGCCAATATCATGGACTGAATGCCTTTGACTGGGAATCCTTCAAGAAGGTTCACAGGAGGCACTGTTAGACACTCTAAGAAAGAGATCTGGAAGATCTTCTGCCAGGGAGTCAGGTGTCTGTAAGATGAAACAGAACAGAAGGCTGACCTTCTTGCTTGGTGTACATGTAATAGAGTTTCAGGAAGACTACTTACAGTGTTAGCCTGTGCAAAGGGCAGTATAGAAAGGAACTATAAATGAGAGAAAATGTATATTTTCTCAGATAAGTCAAGACAAAGAAACATTATGAATACTGGGCTGGCATACCAGGTATGGGACAGCTGAAGCTCTTTATTGAAGTGCCTTCAGAAAAACTATCTACGGACGTACTGGCCTGGAACCAGGAACATGACTACTAACAGGAGTGTTTACTGGCCACTGTACATTGAGAAGGTACCTACACAGTAAAGGATCCTCAGGCAACACTGTATTCAAAAAGTGTGGAGAGGTCGAGGAATCCCTATGTCAAGCGTTTTGGCTCTGCATGGCTGTAACTAGAAGACATTAGTGGGGTCTCAATCAGACAGATTCTGGCTCTAGCAATGAGGACATGGCTCTTCTGAAGATGCCTACTGAGCACAGGGACGCACAATGGATGGAGTAAGTAGTCTAAGTGCTTGGGGAGACCAGAAGTTCTCCCCTGCCCACATCAATGTCAATACTCAATATTCAGTACTCCCTTTAGAAATGCTGCATCATGAAGGATATTATTAACACTGCACTACATATTTCTCTTGCATGCCAGTCTGGATGTCCATAACCCTGTGGTAGCAGAATCCAAAGGATCAAGCTGCTACTGCTAACACACAGGCTCCAAACATAATACGTACTTCTCTGCTTCATGCTCACTGTCAGTTGCTTTTGTGGTACACAAATGAAATGTGCCTTGCTTCAGCGTGAAGTTGAATTGTCCAAACACTACATCCCTCCTCAGAATTGTGTTGTTTTCTATGGAGTCTGCCAAGACATCAAGTATCTGATCTTCCAGCTCAATCTCTGTTCTGCTTGGCGCAGGTTCAGGTGTTGCCGATGTCACATAGTTCCATCCCCACAGCTGTGGGAACCAACAGAGCAAATTGCTTCCTCGTTCTTGTTTAACTGGAGGTGCAGATGAAGGTACAGTATGTTCCGGAGGATGAACCCTCCTCATGGCAACCTGTAACAAAAAAGAATAATGAATATTTTCTTTCTAATTCCTCCATTCCTGTTACAGTCACCAGACACTTCATAGCCTTTGCCCAACAGAACAAAGATAGGAGACAATATTCCACTCTGATTTCTTGAAACGAATGATGTAGGAGGCTAAGTTGGAGTGGAACATACATGACCATCATCAAATGTCTCTAATTTGCTAAAACTGTTGCACTGTATGGTATGTCCAACTTCTCGTATCACATGTGAATGTGACATCTCATAATTAACAATAATGCACTTTATTTTAATTATGAGATGGGGGCACGCAGTGGCATAGTTGGTTGAGACACTATGCTACGAGCAGGAAGGTTGCAGATTCAAGTCCCAATGAGGTGGATCTTTCCAATTGACCTAATCCTTCCAGCCACACTATGGCCCTGGGGCTGACTCAGTCTCTAACAGAAATGAGTACCAAGAATCTTCCTGGGGGGTAAAAGACAGCCAGCAGGTAAGGCTGGCAACCTTACTTCCATCTGTCAGCCGACAGTCTAGATAATGTGGGGCTCTCAACATCTCACATCCCTATGGGCCTCCATGGCCTGTTACAGGGATAGCTTCATGTTTTTTTTACCTTTACCTTTATTATGGAGATATCACATTCACATACAAGGGGGGACCCAAAAATAACCGGAATTTAT